AGGATCGAGGATCGATGCACGATGCTCATCCTCCTCCACCCCTCCTCCACCCCCCCTCCTCCACCCCCCTCTCCTATACTCATCAGAGGTAGTACCTTCCCCTCCTCCTCCTTCGGCTTTTCTCAATCCACCTATTGGCGGCTCTTGCTGCTCACTGGTTGCCTGTGTTTTCCTGGATGGGCTGGTGGAGACCCGCGAAGCGGTGACATATATTTGCATGACGCTTGTTTTTTTAAGGGGCGTCCTCGAGGATGACACAAGCACGTGCCAGCGTAGTTCTGTAAAGGCGTCAGCCATGCAGCAAACCATGCTACAAATGCCAATTCTCTCTTGGACCAAGTCGGCGATGCCAATGCTGCCAACACTGTGCTGAATAGCGTTTGATCCTTCATCCCCCTGAACAATTCAGGATCGAAATAGTTGATGAGCGTGTGCACTATGCCACTGACTGGTTTGACGCACCCGTGTAAAGTAGACCAGCGCCACTTCGCAAAAGATGGGAAGTGGAAAACTTCGAGCACCTCCGCAGCATCAACTGAACCACGACGCCTGAGCTCCACAGTAAACGTCTCCATGAGGTTCTTGTCTCGAAGAAATTTGACAACTGCTTTGGGCTTCGTCAAGAAGTCGGGGAAGAAGGGCAACATCGAAAGACCTCGCTTTATGACCAAGTCGAATGTGTGCCTCCATCCGCTGGAGCGCAATACCCTTGGCATCAAGCGCCCTTCGGTCCTCAGCCCGCGCGGCGCTGGCATTTTGATGAACCAATAATAGTCAGGCAAGAAATTAATCATCGTGTGAATCTTGCGCTCAACTCCGCTGTCGGTCAGAATGCCTCGAACTCGCTCCAGCAAGCGAGGCAACAACTTTGGGCCGAACATGAGCGTCAACTGCCACAGGAGCGCAACCGTCTTTCCTAAAGTGTCCTGCTGATCTCTGCCGAGGGAAACCACTGGTAAGAGTCGGTGGTACATCTCGGTGGCGCCACGCCGCTTCATAAATATATCTATTGACGAAGCATATAGTTATTTCCCTCTGTGCTGCGGGCTACCGTCCACATACAAGAAGATGTCCATGTCTGAAGGCGGCACCGTTTTGATGAACTCCCTCCAAATGTGCATGGCAAAAACATCGAACCTAACACGGGCCGCCCTGATTATCTCTCGGTTGATCGCGGGCTTGAAGTCTGCCACAACTTGGGCAACCTCAGGGTCAATGATCAGAGCGATCACGCCAGCAGCTGACTTGACTGACTTATTGATCTTTTTGTAATCTTTGATGTCGTCGCTATGCCGCAACGCTGCTACGGTGCGCCGCATCTTCAAGTCGGGCAGGATTGGAGCTTGGAGCTCGCCTCGGCCGACCTCTGGAACTCCCGCTGGCACCCCACAAGATCGACGGAATATTCTAAGCTGCTTGGGAGAAGGCCTGACCGTAAGAAGATGCATTCCCCTTGGCCGCGACGGGCCGATCACTGTGACATGCAGTATGTGAAAACGTCCTGCCACCAGCAACTCGGCAAACGCAGGCGAGAAACGCTCGGCCGAGGTCACCCCTGCGCCATTTTGGCGTCGCAACCAATCCTGTACTGTAGTCTCATCGCCATCGAAATCGCGACCTCGGTCGGCATCCACTTCGCGAGCTTGACGAGGAGGAGTCTCAGATACAGGCAAGCGAGGATCAAACAGCATGATCGAATCCACGAGCATGTACACCACAAAACCCATTACCGAATCACAATTTCGAACAGCGGATGTCACCATCATCCTAAACGTGTCATCGTCACACTCCTCGATCTCCTCAGGCGTGCAAAGAAGCCATTTGGCACGAACCAGCCCCACAACAGAACCATCTTGGCAATGCTGAAATGGAACACCTGCAACAGCTTCAGACCAGCGCCCCACGGAGGCAGACACCACCACCACTATCGACTCCGCCCCCTCGTTCGCAGCCCAGGCTCTGCCTGGTCTACGCGCGGGCCTGCCGCCGTCTCGCCTAACAGGCGCGGGTCCAGAACCGACGAAATCATCGTCTGAAACGCCGCCTCCAGCAACGATGGGCGCTGGAGCCCTGTCCGCAACGCCACCGACGACAGAGTCAGAATCGGACCCGAACATGCATAATAGAAAGATCACACGTGCACGAAGATGTAAGAGGCCCATTCTAGAATGCTTGATCTCATATGGCACATAAGCTGAACCGAACGTAAGAGGAGGACAAGCAGCAAAATGATTCGCAAATGTCGCTACCCCCTCGCGCGCCCAAACAGGTCTAGCAGAAGTGCGGACCTTCGCGTGTGATCCTCAAACCCGTCTGGAACAGAGGAGGGTCCGACGTTCAAAAGAAGAAACTGTTTGGAGCCCATCTCAAAACCAGGGGGCCCCCTCATCACCTTGTCAACGCACCACCTTTCATGCGCGCTTTCGGGCACCGACGCCACTGGCAGATCCAGTCACTCTACTCCCTCATGCTCCCCGCACACGTGGAGATCAGGAGGAAAAGAGAATGGGGTGACACTCGGAGGCGGAGGGGGAGGAATCGGGGAGGAGGCCGATGAAAATAAAGAAGCTCTGAAGGACGGGGGTCAGAATTATGATAACCCCGCCAGTCACAAACGGGCGGCGGGACACTGGGAAGCCAGATGATCGAAGCCCCGATGACGGTCCCCCCCCCCAAAAAACAAACCCAAGGTGAGGACGAGCGAAGCGCGATGATGGACAAGGACATTGCTCAGCTAAGCGTTCACTGTCAGAACTCACAGATGGAGCGCGACTCTCTTACCTCTAGTTTCATACACTGGTTTATGACACGGATGGTGGGCCGTCACGCGACTCAATTAGGCGTGCACCCCCGTGCGTCATCCCTGTCAATGGCGCAATGCAAACATGAGCGGGGCGCCCACGGATTGGTCCAAGGTTTGCCGCGACGCGCGCTCTGAAAATGGTATTTGTCAGAATCATTGTCTTGTTGTTTACGTATTACTGAACAACATGTTTGTTTCCATTTGGAGACACTTGAAGTGATACCTTCTAGAATTGTGTTTTTTTGAAATCAGGGGGTAGACGATTCCGCCCTGGGCCCATGGGACCACTAGAAAACTACTAGGAGACCACTAGGGGGCCACTAGAACGTCTACCTTAGGGGGCGCGCTTCCGCGAAAGCCATGTCTGACCAGCGCCCGCCGCCCAAAATCTGGCCCGCCCCGCCGCCCGCCGCCGCCCCATGCAGGATTGTCAGCCTCATTTGGGACGCAAAAAACTTGACTGGCAAATAGGCCCCCCCGCCGAAAGCCCCCCCGCCGAAGCCAGCCCCTGCCGCGGCTGCCGCGCTGGCTCCAGGCGAAGCCCGCCCCAGCGCCCCAGCGCCTCGGCGCCAGCGCCCCAGCGCCCCAGTGCCCCGGCGCCCCAGCGCCCAGCGCCCAGCGCCCCAGCGGCCCAGCGCCAGAGCCGGGCTGTCGTCCGACCCTTTCGTTTGTCTCGTCGCCTGCTGCCCTTGGGGGCGAACCTGTCGTCTGTGTGTCGGCTGGGTCGCCTGTCGTCGTCGTTGTGGTGGCTGCGGCCCCCTGGTAGGCCGCCTTTGGGCCGCCGCGCCGGCCCGCGTCGTCCTCGTCCTTCCGTTTCTGTCGTGTCGCTGCCGTCGGGCGTCGTCGTCTGTGGTCGTCTTCGTGGCATGTCGTTTCGCGCAGTCGTTCTTGCTCCCGGTCGGGTGTCGCGTTCGCGTCCGTTCGGGTCCCGTTAGTCCTCGCCCTGTGCCCTGTTTATCGTCTCCATGTTTCCCTCCGCCTTTTAGCGGTTCCCCCCCGTCTTTCTTCTCTCTTCCTCTCTCCTCTCCGTTTCCGCCTCTCCGCTTCGCTGTCTGGTCCTTCTCTCCTGCCTCTGCTCCGCTCGGCCCTGTTCCGTTCTTGGTTTCTCCTCTTGTCCCTCCCTCCCTGGGTCCGTGCCCCCCGATGCCCTTGGCCTTCGGTTCGCACGCATCCCCCGGCGTCCTGGTCGCTTTACGCGACTCTGGCGCGTCTTCGGCATGACGCTCTCGCTCCTTTGCGACCACAGACGGTTAGCGCCTGCGGCGCACCCCGCGTAGTCCAAAAGAGGATGAGGAGGGAGAGAATGAACGAGGGAGAAGGGAGGGAGGAGGGAAGGAGGGAGGAGGGAAGTGGGAGGAGGGATCAGGACCAAGAGAAGCACACAGCATGGGGCCGTCCGAGGCGCCCCCCCTCCCCCCCAAAGAGGCACCTCTGGCCGTAGGGCCAAAGGTTTCCCTCTCACAAGCGACGGGGCGGCAAGGACTGCTCGGCCGAAGCTCCGACGGCGGCCGCGGCGGCGAGAGCGGCCGCGGTGGCGACGGCGGCTCCGACGGGTGTCGCGGTGGCGGCGGCTGCGGCGGCCCGCGCTCGGACACTGGGGGCCCCCTCTGGGAGAGGCAACCAGCGGTGCTCGCGCGACTCTTCATGGGCGGCGGACGCATCCGTATCCACGCGCTGGCGGCCCCGCGAGGCAGCGGATACGGATGTACATTTTCGCCCACGGGTTCTGGCCACGGGCTCGGCCAAACTGCTCGAGAGGAGCGCGGGTCGCGCGCCGAGCATCCGACATCTGGTTTTGTAGGGCAGGAGGCAGAAGGCGACGCTGCACACCTCCGCGATGACTGGACAAGGCCGTCTTGGGCACTGGCATTGTGTGCACGTCCTCCTGGGCGAGGGCGAGAGGGTCCGTACACCATCTTGGGGCCAAGGATGGCCCTGGCCAGGCACGGCGGTGTATAGGTGCCCTCTGCAAAAGCCTGGCTCTGGGTGCCAACAGCGCACGCTTGTGCCAGTTACAACGTTATACCTGTTGACCGCCTCTGATACTCGAGGGTCCGATCGGATCGACTTCGACGACAAACGGTGTCACGTTGCGCAACGCTGTGCGCCAACGCGGATCTTGGCCCAGAGGGCAAGGACATGGCGCTGCGGCGACGCAGCGTGATCACTGTCTCAAACGACGCATGCGGCCTCCCGCCTCCGGGTCTTGATGTCCCGCAAGACCATGTAGGATGTGCGTGGCCACTCCAGTATCGTGCGATCGGAAAACCCACCTACCCATCTCGTGGGTGCTCAGGCGCGTGCATGGGTCCACTAAGGACACCTCGCCAGCTGCTGGCCCCTGTCTCGACAGCCTGCCCATTCCGTCTCGAGTCCCGTTACTTCGTCCTCCTACTCTTGCTGCTACCGCCGCTTCTCTATGCGCCGCTTATCCTCGCATGCCGACACGTTGGCACCAACAGCACTATCGGCGGGTGCCTCCACCGAGGAAAGACGATCCTCATCTCAATGATGAAGTTACGGGCTTTTTGGGTGGCCGAACCCAGGACCGCTTTACGAGGGTGGAAACGATCAACTGGATCGGAGTTGGTGCAAATGTCCACGCCCACGACCTATCCTTATCCTCCTCCTCCAACTCCTTCTCCTCCTCCTCCTCCTCCTCCTCCGCCTCCTCCTCCTCCCACTCCTGCTCCTGCTCCTCCTCCTCTCGCTCCTCGTCCTCCTCCTCCTCCTCCTCCTCCTTCTCCTCCCGCTCCTGCTCCTGCTCCTCCTCCTCCTTTTCCTCCTCCTCTCCTCCTCTCCTCCTCCTCCTCCTCCTCCGCCTCCTCCTCCTCCTCCTCCTCCTCCCCCTCCTCCTCCTCCTCTTCACCCTCCTCCTCATCCTCCTCCTCCTCTCCTCCTCCTCCTCCGCTCCTCCTCCTCCTCCTCCTCCTCCTCCTCCTCCTCCTCCTCCCCCTCCTCCTCCAACTCCTCATCCTCCTCGTCTTCGTCTTCGTATTAATTGTCTTAGTAGTCGTATTATTCTTCGTAGTAGTAGCCGTCTTGTTATTAGTATTGGTAACAGTATTATTAGTAGTAGTATTATCAACATTAGTATTAATAGTATTAGTAATACTAAAACTATTATTCGTTATATTATTACTTCATTATTCATATGTTGATCATAAACGGCACCGGAACGCCCCCGAAACAATCCAAGCGGCCTCAAGTAGCCGAACCATCGTTCCAAACCTCCCAAGATGACCTCAAAATTGCCGTCAAGGCCGCCAAGAAGCCCCAAGAGAGCCTCAAGAGGCCCTCCAAGACGGCCATTACAATCAAAAATCGTCCCATTCCCAGAGGAACATGTACACTTCCCGCATGAACGGCGTGTCGAGTTTCACAGCGCATCAGACTACGCAAATAGCCCCCAACATCGCCCCGAGACAGCCCAACAATCCGCTAAAATCGGCCCAAGACGGCCCAAGATAACCCCAAGACGGCACAAGAGAGCACCAAGACCGCCCAAGAGGCGCCCAAAGGGGGATTCTGCCCCTAGGAGCACCTCAGAAGCCACCAACATCCCGCCAATAAGTTCCCTAAGACGCCCCAAGAACCACCCAAGAAGCCCAACAAGAAGCCCCAACGACCCCCAAACGGCCCTTACGGGGCCTCAAGAGGCTTCAACACTGCTTCCAAGAGGTTCCCGAGACGCCTGGCAAAAGAACCCCCGAAGCGCCGCATTGACACCAGGCCCTCGGGCAAACGGCAGACATGAGACTGTATGGGCCGGCGGAATGAGCGAACCGAATACATATGATTACTGATATTAATAATGTAGTAGTATTGTTCGTAGCATTCGTAGTATGATGCTTCGTACTGGTGTTATTAATCTTCTTATTTGTCATATTAATACTCTGCTTAGTCGTAGTATTCTTAGTATTATTCTTGGTATGATTCCCTACCTAGGCTCTGCCTAGAAGGGTTCTTACTTTATATCCTTAAAGGGCCTGGCAGTGTTGCCCGCCCCGGGCGGTTCCCCCGGCATCCGCCCCGCGGTTCCCCCAGTGACGTTCCCTTAGCTTAGCGTTGTTTATATCATCTTAGCTTAGCTTATTTCGTCTTAGCTTAGCTTAGCTTCATCTTAGCTCAGGTGTATCTTGACTTAGCTTACATTCATAGTAGCTTCGCCGAGCTTTAGCATAGCAGAGCACAGCATAGCATAGCAGAGCGTAGCACAGCACAGCGCAGCACAGCATACCAGAGCATAACATGGCACAGCGCAGCATAGCATAGCATAGCACAGCATAGCGCAGCACAGCACAGCATAGCATAGCACAGCGCAGCATAGCATAGCATGCGCTCGTGTGTGCTAACCGCGTTGCCAGTTTGGTTTTCTGTTCGGGTAATTAGCATGGGTGTAATTCCCTACCTAGGCTCTGCCTACAGGGTTAGCTTAGTTTAGCTTAGCTTAGCATAGCGCAGCGCTGCATTAACATAGCATAGCATAGCCAAGCATAGCCAAGCATAGCATAGCATAGCATGGCAGAGCATAGCGCAACATATCATAGTATAGCATAGCATAACATAGCATAGCATAGCATAGCGCAGCTTAGCATAGCATAGCATAGCTTAGCATAGCACAGCGCAGCATGACACATCGTAGCTTATCATAACATAGCATAACATGGCATAGTATAGCGCAGCATAGCATAGTATGACATAGCATAGCATAGCACAGCCTAGCATGGCATAGTATGGCATCGTATAGCACTTAATGCTTCGGTCCTAGGGGCTCCAACTTCTAGGTAGGGTCGCACTGGGGTAAGTATGCGTTGTCTTCTTAATATTCGTGTTACTATTACTATTCGTAGTAGTGTGATTATTGTTATTATTAGTAGTATCAATACTACGATTAATACTATTTAGTGGTACCAATGCTACTAGTATCAGTGCCCGTCGTCTTGGTGATAGTATTAGTATTCGTCTTCTTCTTAGTATTGATCATATTCGTCGCATTAGTTGTAGTATTCGTCGTATTCCTCCTCCTCCCTCCCTCCC